CCAGAATATGGCAAGTAATGAAACTGTCTGCAGTAAAACACCCGATAAGCCTCTCCTCCTCTACAGAGAGAATAAATGCATGTCATTTTCCAATTAACTTTTGCTCTGAGCAATTACGCTGATCAAATAATTGAATAAGTGACAGGAATGTGAATCTGGAGGCAGTTAATTTCATTCATCTGCCAGTTCATAATTCGACTTGCATGAGCACATAAGCCAGGCTAATGTGTTATTTATAACTTTGGAAATACAATTATAGCAGTCAAACACGAAGAGCTGCAGGTCCAGTGTGGAGAAAGGAAGGTTTCTCCTAATAAATTGTAACACCAGCGGCATAACGAGCCGGTCCTTCATTTACAGGACGTGCAGCTCGTGTTTGACTAAGGGAGCAGGGCTGATGTCACCGTCAGCCTCCATCGTCCCTGGCCTCAATGTGCGGTGGAGGCGCTGGGCAGCCAAAGGGCTGCRCCGGGGTCTGTAAGACACGTGCCATGGGCCCCTCCGCCTGTTCCTCTGGAAGTGACACGGAGCAYGGACCATGAGGGAGAACCCCAGCTGGCATCCTTTGCCAAAGACACAAACCAGGTATTTCTTACGTTGGGCATGTCGTGAACAAGCACCGGGGTGCTCTGGAACAGCCCAGGCCAGCACGCTTGATCTCAGGAGCACTGGAATAGCTTTCACAGACCTGGTCCTGGCTTCCTTTGGGAGCATGGATTGTGCTTGGGAGGTGTCTCTGGGAATAAATAAATAATTAAATAAAGCACAGAGTGAAGCAGAAAAATGAAGCGTTTGCGAAGCTAGCTTTAGACCATCCTACCTGCTGGAAACGTGCACGTGCACTCCCTGCAGCGAGCTGGGCTGCCACCCAACAGGCACTCACGAGCAGAGATGCACAGGAGCACAAACAGAGCGCAGGCAGGAGCCGCACCGGGAGCGCTACCTGGGCGAGTGCCGCGCTCACTGCCCGCAGGAAATGCGCGCAATTAATTGCTTCCTGGTTAAAGGCATTTGCCGTCTGGCCCTTAAATCTTCACGACCTAAAAGCACTCGCTGAGGTAAATCTGGAATTACCCTGGGCTAGTTAAAAGCTTTGCCCCAGACAGCAGAATTTTGCACTGTAATTTTGGTTGTGAATCAACACTTTCCTGTCTAAGCATATTGTACCATAAACTGAGTCTGTAGAAAGTGCTCCAGTTTTCAAAACCAGCATCCCACAAAAGCTCTTGTGAGGGGTTGATTAAAAGAGTTTCTAAACCAGTTTAGTTAAATCGGTGTTATTTTCCTGTGAGGACAAGATCTTACAGGGGATTAATTTCGCAGGCTGTGAAGCAGCAGAGCCAGAAGCCCCCCAGGACGCGGCAGGCAGGAAGGCTATTTAAATGGTAATAAACTTTAGGTGAAAACAAAAAATGCTCCCTGATTACAGGCTCACCAGGGCTTAGGCTGCTCTGCGGGAAGATGCCAGGCAGCGTAGGGGCCTTCTGCCTACTCACATAAATCACTTGTGTCCGAGCAAACAAGCCGGGCCCTAACCCCTGTGGGGAGGAGCCCATGCTGGGGATGAGCCCAAGGAGATGGAGCYAAAGGCGGGGAAGGTCGTGACTGCTGCCCTGGGTGCCCGTCCGCTTCGGTGTCCTCATCAAGTGAAACCTCATCCTGAGGGAGCCAGCTGATCCCCGACCTGTGCACTTCTCCTTAAGCTCCTCTCCTTCGTTTTCAGGAGGGCATCTCCCGCAGCCCGTGTATGCACCACGGGCTGCAGCCAGGCGGGCGAAGCCGCAGGGTCCCAGCAGAGYGTCGCTGCTGCCCGCTGGGAAGCTGCAATTTACGGCCTTCATCACGCAAGAGAGACACGCAGGCTGCAGCCCAACACACCCTCCGCGCCAGTTTGGCGCCTCTGCTGGAGAAGTTACCTCGCTGAGCGGGAAAACAACCAACCCTGCCAATTGTTACGGGAGAAAAAAAAAGGCAGAACAGAAGCTGCTTATCAGAGAGCCACATTTTGAGAGGAAAAAGTCCCTGAATCCTGAGGAAGGAAGGATTCTCTGGAGAATTTCAAGTACTCTTATGACAACCTCATCCTGTAGGAGTTGGGCAGGGAGCCGGGCCCCTTCCTATTGTGAAAATTGAGTTCAGGCGACTGGAATGTAACAGGAGGAGACCCTAGACTGCAAGGGTACTCTAAGGCACTAATAAAAAATAAGTCCCCAAAGGTAAAAATGATTGGCACAGACAGTTGTCTATCAATTGTGATTTTAGAAGCAGTAGGAATGACTCAAAGCCCAGAGACCCGAGGCTCACAGATGCTGGAGTCGAGGTTTCTCCTTGGCAGCCAGGCTGGCAGCTGACTGTGCAGTGCTGGTCTCAACTTGGCCCAGGTTTGTGAGTGTCCAGGTTGGCAATCAGTGTGTCAGGAAGGGTCCGGTTTATTCTCTCTGGATTGTTCTGTTCTTGGTTAGCCAAGACCCAAACAGCTACATGGTTTTCTTTTTAACAGTCAGAAACCATCATTAATCCAAGCATCTTCAAGGACTTCCCAAACCGTGGCAAAGTTCAGTCCAACCCGTTCTGCTCCTTGTTCTGCTCCCTAAAGCAGAGCCTTCCATGATAACACGCAATGTGTGAGCACACCCAAAGCAGCCTCGCAGCAGCTGCAGGGCCGAGGTCTGTTTTGGGAAATCTCGGACCATGAGCGCGGCTCCTGTCACTCTCGGCTTTCCTTCCTGCACAGCACAGAGCCAGGACTGGCTGGGCCCGCGCTGCGGCCGCGCTCAGCCATGCAGGGCTCTGGTGGGACCTCCACTGGTGGCCTCGTGTCACCACAGCTCTCACCGAGCAGCCTCGGCAGCGGGTCCGGCCTTCTGCTGGGCTGAGAGGAGCAGGGAAYGGGATAAATAACTCAGAGACATGGGAAGCGATCTAAAACTTCCTCAGCGGTCACGCTAACTCCTGGGAAGGGGACTGCTCTTCCATGGCCAGCACAAGCCAGGCTTTCTGCTGCACCAAACCAGGCCTATCTGCAGCACAGAATTTAGCCCAGACTGCAATTCTGCAGTTGCACACTGTGCTATAGGGCACGGGTGTGTTCAAGCTGCCCTACCAAAACTCACTACATAGGCAAAGAACTTCCCTGTGTCCAGACAACCCCTATCCTGACCTATTACTCTAGTTAGGGACCTTGGTAATTACATACARCACAAGTCTCTTCTCATAATACTACATATACTATATATACGTATTCACTATATATGTATAGTATATATAGTACTAYGAGAATATAGTATGGTATATATAGTACTACGAGAATATAGTATGGTATATATAGTACTACGAGAATATATTTTATACATAGAAATACAGTATCTCTAAAGTATATACATCTATACTCACATAGTATATGCAACTATCAATATATATCGGCACAGTTGAACCTCTAGGCGAAATGGATGCACCTGCAGCTGCACTGACACAGCTCTTCCTGCTTCGGATAGGCCAGGTTCTGAATTTTGCTTTCATTAGGAAAAAAATAAATCCATTAGGAAAAAAATAAATAATTTCATTAGGAAAAAAATAAACGCTGGTGAACTGCAGAATATAGCAACATTTTTAGTTACACGAACAACCCAATTACAACATAGTAGCTATGCAGTAAAGGGGATGTCGGGAGTAGACATGTAGTTTGGAGGCTGGTGGTGGTGGCCTCTGCACACTGTGACAGGGCAAAGCTGCACTATGAGGGTGAGACTGGCTGCCCTCTCATGGGGAACTTCAGCCTAAGACCGAAGTAAGGGGAGCAGAACAGGAGACACAGGGTTGACTATCAGCAGCCATGAAGCCAAACGGCTTCTATTCAGCTGTGAAGAGGTGGCTTTCACCAGAGGGCTGAAGCTTCACCAAGCAGCTTTCCACATCTCCGCAGGGATCCGTATTCCAGCAAGACGCTTCCGTACAGGAGGTGTCAGAACACAGGTCAGGTCTTGGGACCTCCACAAAAAGCACAGGTGCAGAAGCTGAGATCGTGTGCAAGGTGCCTGCTAACGGTGCAGAGACATAGGAGAAAAAGAAAACATGAAGAGATTAAAGTGCAAAAATCTGAAAACACAGAAGAAAAGCACTAGTAAGCAAAGACAAGTTGTGAGATGTTACGCGTACCCTTCAAATTACTCTGGGCACCATCTGTATCCCACAGGGTACTGCAAAAGTGCACGCTACAAGGCAGGACAGTTGCTTTAAACTCCACTTAATCCATACCCCCACCTTGTACGAATGCAAGTGCAGTGGTGTTATTTGAGTTTTATCACTTTCCTGCCCCTTCATCTCCCTCACAAATGGTCACTGACCTGAAGTTTCTTGATATTACTGGAAATTCATAAATGGACACACTAAACCTCAAAGCAAGCAACCAGGCTCATTCCGACCATGACGTAATAAAAACAGAAATTCTCCGTTAACGAGTGGTATGCTCAAAATTTTTAATACATGTTTCTTGCCACTGAGAAAAATTATTGCATTAAATTCTGATACATAAATTCATCTAAATTAAAAAAAATCTTAATTTWACCTTTTACAATTTTGTCACAGCAGCTAAAGGAAAACAGCTTTTATATGTGATTCTCTCAAAGAAAATATGCTAGCAAAAATACAAATAGCACTTCCCCAATTCAGCAAAACCGTTAACTTATTATTCAGTAGTTCCCACAAACCCCAGCCTGAACAATCTTCGTAGGTGTACGGCCGAGGAAAAGAGAAGTGCCATTCCAAACTGCTGTCTGCAAATCTGAAATTTATTAAAAATTAACTTTCAGTATATGATGATGAYGACTTTATTTGGTAACAGTTAACAATGTGTGTTGAATTTAATTACACACCATTTTTCTTAAATTACTGTTTTCCTTCAGTTACAATTTAAATAGGTACACAAGTAACAAAATATGAATGCTACCCACAGTAGTTTATAAAATTCAGACACTGCTGGGGACTGTGCCAGCCATGTAAACACAACTTCATCACCCAAGAGAGACACCAGGTTCCCAATCCGTTAAAATCAACCTCCACGTAAGCCGGCTGCTCCACCTTGGAGGCGAGTCAGGAGGAGACACAAACAGACTGAAGAAGGGGGTGATGATAAAGGTGGAATGCAGTACACGGCAGAATTATATTCTACATTTCAGCCACTGATGAGAATAAGGTGAAAGCCTAGGGAAAGCTCTCCTCCTATTCAATCACATGCCAGTACTGGGAATCAGGAATTCGTAATTCAGCTTCTTACACAAAATCCCCAAATATATAGCACTAACCAGAGCCTTGTAAAGTAGTTCCACAGGTTACCCTTCTCTTGCACAGAGAAGGAAAAAAAAAAAGAAAGATGCAAGGCTCGTCTCTGATCTGTGCTCATAAGATGCTTTCTTTTCCTGTAAAGCAAATAATAAAATATATTTTTCTTCAGAGARAAAAGCCTACTCTTTTCCTCTACCCCGGATTACCCATTATCATAGCGAATATTCACTTACAATCCACTTGAAAACATTTCTTATTAAGTAAGGCCTGGTGGCTGCATTTGCCTGCTCAAAACAAGCGACGACAGAATATGTTACTTCAGTATACTATATTAAGGTCAAAGATAATTCGACAGCAAAATAACACCCAGGTGTCTCTGTCTTAGAGGTAAGGATCACACAAGTCCTAACTCTCACCTTCACTGTAATTTAATATAAAACTCATAGCTATTTGAGTGTTTCTTAATCACCTTTAGCTAAGAGGACTGAGTTACCCTCTAGAACCATCTTGCCCATTTATTTTCTGTGATTTGCTAGCAAAATGCCCAAATACCATAGGGCACCTGAGTAGACACAGTAGGCTGCTTTGTAAAACCTGGCAACTCAAAAGGCAAYCAAAGAACAAGAGCGTAAAAACTTGCCATTAAGGTGAAAATAAATATGTCCAACTGGCAGTGTGAAAAGACAGAAATATGAAGAGTCTCCAGTACAAGCAGCTACCTAGGATGCTTTCCTGGTTTCATCTTTTTGCTTGTCCACGCAGCCATGAGGCCCTCACTATGAAGATATAAACTGCAAAGCCTCTCATTTGAAGAGTTAAGAGGATCTGGATACTCAGTTATTCCAGCTAAAATCACTTAAAGAGCCTCATACAAGGTTATGAATTGTTGCATCATTTTCTCACAACTAAGGAGGTCTGTGCTGAAGCAGCTAGGAGGATGATGCTCACAGCCTTCTCTAGACAGTCTCCTTACAGGACCTGGCTTGCTTTATTTGCAGAGACACRTACTGAGACAGCCGTCACCATCCGTCCAAGCCAACAGACACGTCCCTCACCTGGCACTCAAGCCACAAAGCAGACTTGGAACTATCCAGCTGTAATGTCCAAGCCACGGGGCTAAGGCACCCTTGATGCGAGAACATTGTTATTTTAGCTTGGAGAACCAATTCAACCAAACACAGTCCTCTTCTCRGTTACTGCTGTACTAGAGGGGATAACACATAGACACTTGCATCAGAGCTGGACTGTGTATTTTCAAGAGTGTGTCACCTCTGAGGAGTACGTACTCCTTCCAGACTCTTTCTCCTGTGCTGCTTCTCTACAACAGAACCAGAACGCTGTTTTTTTCCAGACAAAAACAGTACCTTGATGGAAACCCTCTCCCTGCCTTGCACTACCCAGGAGCATTTATGCCTCTTRACTGGAGTTTCTACTAGCAGGTAATGGCCCCTAACACATTTTTGACRGTGCCTTGAGCAAGAGAGCATACTACACCTAATAGACTTGATCCCAATGAACTTTGTGAGAAAATAAGGAAGCAGAATGCAAAGGAGAAGGTGGAAAAACAATGCTYGCTTCTCTGAAAGCAGTAAAATTTTGTCTTCAGAGAGGTGCAACTTAGGCCCATTGGTCTGCTTGTTAAGGAGAAGCAGCAGCCCCTTCATCCAAACAGAACCGCTTACTCAAATAAGAGTTTTAACTTAGCTCTGTCTTTGAAGTGAGCGAAAAGAGTTTTGCATGTCAGAAACCACAGAGCCTGCATCGCTACGGAGCAAAGCAGACTGTGCAAATCCGTGTCGCTCCTGCGCAGCGCTGAGTCACATCTGGATGGAGGATCCTCACCAAACACCACACCCTGCGGGAGTTCCAGCACGTCCCCTTCTGCAAGAACACTGCCTTAAACAAGGGTCCATACAGTGACATGATTACAAGGGATCTTTTCCTGCTGGATGGTGTTCATATATTTAAGACTTTCATAAACATTTTATTTGGCCAAAGAGTGTAAATTATTTAATTTCCCAAGTCACGAACACTACCGAGCCTTTCTTGAAGGGCACATTATTCAGGTGCAAGTGCATGTGACTTCAATCCAAAAAAGAGTTTTCACCACTGTAGGCTTCGACTCTAAGTCCTCGGCTTCAGGAAGGCTGCAGTTAAGACTTCTGTGTTTTTGGGGGATTCAGAAACCATTCAGTCCATATTTTTAACGTACAGCATTTTCTGCAAGTGCATTCGCTCTGTCCATGCAAAAGGCTAGTTCACTTTACACTACAGAGGTGGTACTTTCTGGATTCACACGCATCAGTCTGGAAGCATTTCTCAGATCTTGTAGCTGCTTGGCTGGCTTTCCAACCCCTTCCTCAAACCGTTTTTCCACCACAGGAAGGACAGTTTCATAAAGGAAGGACGCATTCTGCCTAATGAACGCTTTCTTCTCAGGGTCCTGTTCACACCGCAAACTGTAGTCAACGTGCTGCACAGCCACAAGGATGATTTCCACGAGGCTCTCCAGAAGAACCATGTGCAGCTCTGGAAAGTAAAGCTTCAGTGCTTCCTCCAGGAAAGCCATAGTCTGCTTAGTGAAAGCCACCACCGTATAGCTAAGGTTGACCCAGCAGTCATCCCCAGTGTACTGGTCAAAGTTGCCTACCCCGCAGCCTCTCATCTCCTCTCGCAGTTTTCCCAGRGCCTCGGGAGTCATCAGGTTCATCCTCCTCCACATCTCCTCAGAGTTGCGATGCTTGGTGGCCTCAATGATGATGTCCTTATAGCTCTGCAAGGCACCTTGGATGTCCTTCACCAGGAGGGCATGAATGATGAAGGTGAGATCCAGCCCGATCTCACTGAGCTGCTTGCAGTGCTCTTTAGCTACCTTGGGTCATAAGGAAAAGTGAAGTGTGTTATCAGTTTGCAGTGCCCCTTTGCATTTAGAAGTTCATCACATTTATCATTGTCAAAAACAAGAAGTACTAGTTACATTTGAAACATCTCTTCTACCTCGAAAATGGTAAAGCAGTAGTAACTGAATGGCAAACTTGGCCTGTCAAGGGTACTACTGACTACACTAGAGAATCTTTTTTTCCTCCTATTAACAGCTGAGAGATACCATACCATGAAAAATTAAGGACTATTTAAAGCACTTTTTAAAAAAATAAGGAAATAAGAGTTCAATAAAGGCTTGGAAAACMAACTAAAGTATTTACAAAGCTCATTGCTCTGATAATCCTCACATAAATTTATGAATCTTCTACCATTTAAAAGCAAATTCCGATTGASCATATTTTGCATGTCTGATAAGGGCAGGTTTTCGTTTGTTCTGACTTTTAATCTGAATGCTTTCTTCGCTAAATTGGAAAGAAAAAACCCAAAACCGCCATTCAATTTGAGGGCAGGAAGCTTTTCCAAGCACTGTGCTCAAAGTCCGAGCCAGGATTAGAAACGGGGGGCGGCTGCAAAGCCCCCCCTCGCCCACCACGTCCTCCCCCTCGCCCACCACGTCGCGGCGCGCCGCTCGAGCTCCCACCTTCACGCACTCGGCCGCGGTGGACAAGCTCTCCTTGCTGTCAAAGACCTGCTTGCTGAAGGCGTCCACGAACATGCGCATGGAGGCGCGGGCCCACATCACGAAGGCCGAGTAGCAGCCGCTGCTGCCGGCGAAGTCGGTCTCGAACTCGCGGGCCGTCTCCAGGAGGCTGGTGAAGAAGACGTGGCAGAGCTTGTGGATGTAGAGCAGCGTGGCGCCCTCGATGCGCAGCTGCCGGATGGCGGTGCGCACGGCGCCCGCGCGGTTCCGCAGGAACAGCTCGCACGCCTTGCTGGACTGGCCCAGGCGGATGAGCTGGGAGACGGCGCGGCGCGTGGCGCGCGGGCCGCCCCGCAGCGAGCGGCCCGGCGACAGCTCGAACACCAGCACGTCCGTGAGCTGCCGCACGCGCTCGTCCACGCGCGCGCGCAGCTCCGCCGCCGCCGCGCTGCCCGCCTTGGCGCCCAGGTGCTCGTTGAGCTTGTCCAGGAGGTCCACGGCGCCCTCGAAGTCCCGCTGGGCGATGCACACGTCCAGGTCCTCGGGCAGCTCCTGGATCCACTCGAGGGAGAGGTCAACGGCGTCCTCCTCGGCGGGCGGCTCCTCGGCCCCCTCCCCGTCGTCCTCCTCGAAGGGGTTGGGGGGCTCGGGGGGCGCGGGCCGGGGCAGGGCCTCCTGCTCCAGGCGCCGCTTCTCGCTGAGGGCCCGGCTGCGCTTGGTCTCCTCCAGCACCTCCAGCCACTCCTTCTTGATCTTGGCGTTCTCGGCCTGGAAGATGCGGCTCTCGGGGAACATGAGCAGCTTGAACATGTCCTTCATGGGCGGGTTGTCCTTGACGTTGACCACGGCGAGCCCGTCGAGCGGGTAGAGCGCGTCRTAGCGGTAGGCGCCGCGGCGGTTGGGCAGCGCCGTGGCCACGAGCAGGCAGTCGTTCATGAGGAAGGCGTGCACGCGCTGGATCTGCGCCATGTGGTCGGCGTCGTACTCGAGCAGGTCGCCGTTGTACACGAGGTACTTGCCGGGGCTCTCGGGCAGCAGGTCGCCGCAGCCCTCCACCTTCTCCAGGAGGGTGGTGAGCGTGCGCTGGCGGCCCTCCTCGCTCGCCGCCGCCGCCTCCTTGGCCGAGAGCGGCAGGAAGGGGTCGGCGGCGGCGGCGGCGGCGCGGCGGGCGCCCAGCGCGGCCTCGTCGCGGTCGCCCTGCAGCAGCAGGGCCTGCGTCACGGCCTCCATGATGCCCTTCTGCTCGGTGAGGATGTGGCTGAGCTGGTACATCTCGCTCTCCAGGTAGCTGATCTCGCGCGCCGTCTCGATGAACTGCCGGTAGTTCTGGTAGACGTTGCGCTTGAGGCTCTGCGCCGTCTCCTCGCTCAGCGCCTGGATGCGCTGCCGGTGCTCCTGCAGGTCGCGGTCGCCGTCCGACTGCTGCGACAGCTGCTTCACGTACTCGGCCGCCGCGAAGCCGCCCGACTCCAGCTGCCGCCGCAGGCGGCTCCCGCCGCCCACCTCGCCCAGCGACAGCGCCATGGCCGGCACCGGCACGGCGGCGGGCCGCCCTCGAACCACAACCAGAACCAACACCGGCGGCACCGGCACCGATGGCGGGAGCGGAGCCGCCGCCGCCGCGCCTGCGCACAGCGGCGCACACGCCCCGCGCGCCTGCGCCAGCCCGGCCGCGCCGCCGCGCACGCGCATRCGCACACGGCCCCACCCGGCGCCGCGCAGGCGCGGCAGAGCTGCTCCCCCGCCCTGCTGCCCTCCGCGGCCGCAGCGAGCGCGCGCATGCGCCCCATGGGCACAATGAATACTGCGGGTTGGCGGCGGCGCATGCGCAATTAGAGCGGGGCGGTGGCGACGCGCCCTCTGTGACCGTATGCGCGTGCGTCGGGGCTGGAACGGCGCTTGTGCGCGTGCGTGGGGGCTGGAGCGGCGCTGGTGCGCGCGCACGCGCAGTGGCGGTTGGGCGGCCGTTGGGCGGCGGTTGGGCGGGGAGCGTGCGCCATGGCGGAGGACGGCGACCTGGCGCTGGCGCTGCAGCTCCAGGAGCTGTGGGAGGCGGAGGACAAGGAGGCGGCAGCGGCCGCGGCCGGGCACCCCGGCGCCTCGCCGGCCTCCTCGCCGCTCCGGCCTCTCTCGGTGGTGGACGAGGCGTGGGAGCTGCTGGACCCCAGCCCCGACGTGCACGGCCTCTTCGTGCAGTTCAACGAGGCGCTCTTCTGGGGGCGCCTCACGGCCGTGGCGGTGTCGTGGAGCCCGCGCATGACCCTGTACGGCAGCGGCGGGCGGTGGTGATGGGGCTGGGGCCGCCGCGGGGCCGGCGGGTTGGCAGGGCGGCCGCGTCCCGGTGMCCTGGGACTCGCCGAGTAAGCAGCGACACAGCTGCGATTCCCGGGGACTGGAATATCCTGCTGGGCCTCTGCTCAGGGTGCCGTTCTGTCACTATCACCATCTATTTTATCCTTAGTTTGTGAGCTCTGGCAGCCATAAATGGTTTTCCCGGTGTGCCGACAAAATTGTTAAGCAGAATACATAAATTGACCTTAAATTATGTGTTTTTTAAAACTTTCATAAGCGTACTACTTTTGTTCTTACCTTGTTGCTGTTCTCAACTCCTTTSATGCTTTTACAGCATAGCAGAAAGGCTCACCTGAAATGGTAATAGCAAATTAACGAGGCTTAGACTAGACAGAGGAGAGTACACGTAATAAATCTGAGATGCCAAAAAAAAGTTGCAGTTGTGCAGCACATCAGCTGGTAGGGCTGCAGGATGTCAAAGTCCTTCCCTGTCTTGTCCTTTGCTGATTGCGGCGCTTTGTGGACATTTGGAAATACTCAAATACACTATGCTGACAGGGAGCTAATCCAACAACAGAAAATGTTTTCTGTAGKGTTAGTGTGCTGAAGTGACTGTGTAAAGGTCTGGTGAGAATCAGACCTCCGGTAGAGCATCAGCTAAGGGTGGAGCCACAGCAGCCAGTAGCTAGGTTGGAGTTAGCTGCTGCTCCACAGCTTTGTTTGTCACTCCGGATTCTTAAAACATTAATTTGCCTACTGAACAAATGAACCTGGAATGTTCTGTGGTGACTTTCAGGGTTATTACCTATGAAGCTTAGAATTAAATGATTGTAAGAGGTGTAATAAATTGTAATTGAATGTCTGAGGTAGCTTATTGTGAAGAATTTGTCTTTTTTTTTTTTTTTTTTTTTCCCTTTGCTAATGAGGTTGAGTTCTTCAGGTATCTTCTAACAACTGTTCTAATTCAGCTTATTTAATGTCTACCTATCAGGTCAGCATTTTAACTCCAATCCTTTTCTTTTTTTTTTCATACGTTACAGAAACCAGTAAATCTTACATTCTGTCTCTGCATCTCTTTCAGCTGTGCTGGAGTGTGTAGCTATGAAGGAAAAGGTGGAATGTGTTCCATTCGGCTAAGTGAGCCACTCCTGAAGCTCAGACCGAGGAAGGATCTTGTCGAGGTACTTGAAGATTGTTCATGAATATGGACATAAAATTAATTAAACTTTTCCCACTCCACACCCCCATCTTTTTTATTTTAATGAAAAAAATGTGTTCTTTAGTTGTATTCTTATGAGGAACGGCCTGTAGGTTGGAAAATAGCAGTGGTTTTATTGCTGCATTTCTCTTTTTACGTGGACAACACTACAGTATCCTTAGWTGCATGTTTTTTAATTGGGCCACACTAGAGTAGAAGTCTACAATTACTTTTCTTTTTTGACTTTATAAAGGGAAATAAGACTTTTTTTTAGCTCCTAAGCTATCTTGCCATATCAAAAGCACAGTGAAGCCAGAAAGTACAACCAGAAAATGGCTTTATTTTCACTTTTCAGGTCAGCAGAAAATGAGGGCTAGAATATGCCTGTGCACACAGCTTTACATTGCTTTTTGTGCCTCTGCTTGTATGACATGGCTCAACATTTGGATTGTTTAGTCAGTGAAAGTGCTGGAGTATCTCTGCCTTCTTCTCCGAACTATCTCTTCTGTTTGATGTGTGTGTGTGGGGGGGGAGGGAATCCTTTTAAAGATCTGATTTGAGTTTAGGCATTATTTTCATGTGTTAAAATAACATTTTTTTAGCATGTTTAGGTTGTAATGGAAATAGTTGGATTGATTTGGCAGGTAAAATAAGTACTGTGTCTATGTGAATGAGATTTAACAAGTGAATGCATGAGAATAAGATTAGTACTAACATGAATATAAAGTAGGACAGATAAAAAAAAATGCTCAGCATAATTTAAAAACCCTGTGCAGTGCTTTTCAGTAAATCCCCAGTGATTGGCCTTGTTTCAGACCCTGTTACATGAAATGATCCATGCGCTGCTGTTCGTCACTAACAATGACAGAGACCGCGAGTCTCACGGGCCGGAGTTCTGCAGGCACATGCGGCGCATCAACCGCCTCACGGGAGCCAATGTCACGGTGAGCAGAAGCCACGTCGTGCCCAGTGGTACAGCCGCCGCCTTATTTTCATGCCCTGTGCTGGAATATTTCAARTGTGGTATGATTAATGCTAGAGAGGGTCTAGCGTAGAGCAACAAAGATGATTTAAGGGAGTGGAGCATCTATCGTGTGAGGAAAGACTAGGGGCCTGTTCAGCTTGGAGAAGATAGAGAGGGGATCTGATCAACATGCACAAATATCTGAAGGGAGGATGTAAAGAGGAGGGAGCCAAACGCTTCTCGGTGGTGGCCACTGACAGGACAAGGAGTAATGGGTACAAATGGAAACGCTGAAAGTTCCATCTGCATGTGAGGAGGAACCTCTTTGCTGGGAGGATGACAGGAGCCCTGGAACAGACTGCCCGGTTCAACAGGGAGGTTGTGGCATCTCTTTCTCTGGAGGTCTTCCAAACGAACCTGGATACCACCCTGTGYCCCGTGCTGTGGGTGTCCCTGCTTGAGGAGGGAACTTGAACTAGATGACCTCTAGAGGTCCCTTCCAACCTCAACCRTTTTGTGATACACTTGTATTTGTCAACATTCAGGTTTACTGAATATAGTAAACCTAGCATATACTAGTATAATAGTATATACACTTAGTAGTATAATAATACTAGTATGCCAGTATAATACTATAATAGTATAATAAGTTGTATTTATTCTGGCAGTTCGACAACGCTGGAGAAGACTTTATGTAGTGAGTCAACCCATTAGCAGGCTTTTTTTTTTTTCCTTCTTTAGGTTTTATGACTTTAGGTTTGTTAACCTGTACTACAAAGGATTGGAGCGCTATTGTGTTTTTTCTAAAAATACATAGAGCTAGTGATAAATCTCAAGACTTAAAATCAGACCTTTTTAAATTCTTTTTTTTTTTAACACAGATTTATCATAATTTTCATGATGAGGTGGATTCATATCGCCAGCATTGGTGGCGATGCARTGGCCCCTGTCGAAACAGAAAACCTTACTTCGGATATGTGAAACGCTCAATGAACAGAGCACCCTCTGCACGAGACTTCTGGTGGGCTGAGCATCAGGAGAAGTGCGGAGGTACCTTCACCAAGATCAAGGAACCAGAAAACTTTTCCAAGAAAGCCAAGGAGAAAACCCAGCTAGCAGAACTTTCCAATTCCAAATCAACTAACAAAGGTATCTGACACACTTTTTTTTTCCCCAGACAGTTCTTGCCCAAACATCACCTTGAACAAACAGAGATCACCTACTGCATGAGCTTTGTATTAGCTATTATTATAATGTAACAAAGAACAAGACCCCTTTTGTTTGCGAGTTTTCTAGGCTCMTTTCTTGCTTGTTTGTTGCAAAGGATTTATTTTGTTAGTTTTCAAAYAGCAGATTTTTCAGATAAAGCACAAAATACTGAGCCTGTAGTTTATGTACGAAAAAGTTACTAACTTTTCGTATTTTGCAGGCAAGGTACATACAGGTAATGCACAAAACGTGATCCCTTTCAATGGGAAGGGGTATCTGCTTGGAGGAGGAGACAATGGGCGCTCGGAGAAAAGCCTAAGTTCCAGCAGCGATGTTCAAAGTGGTGAAACACTCAGTTCACAGCATCATTCGGTAAGGAGTACGATACCAGTCCCTAAAAATGAGATAAAATTTGAAAACTCGCCCCGTCACGGCACCTTCTTTCCGCTGCGTACTGATGATGTCAGAGAGAAAACTAGCTTTGCTTCCAAGCGGGAGTTCCCCAAGCTCTCTGTTGCTGACACAAAAGCTTACAAGAATGTGAATGGATCTCCTGTTAAAATCGCTCGTGTTACAGAAGAAAAATCAGATCAAGGTCTTGCAAAAGGAAAAAGGGTTTCGCCGTGGCATAACAGGACACCTAAACAAACTTGTTTTGAGCCAACTACAACAGCTCAGGCTGTATCGGATAAAAAAGGAAGCTTGGAACGTACGAGCACGCTGCAGCARTGGCCAAAGGTGGAGGACAAAGCTGCCTTTGAAAACTATTTTGTGAAAAAAGAGCGCGCTGATGTCACTTTAAGTCTAAACACAACTGTGAAAACTGAAGCTAAATCTGCAGCGTCCTCTGGAAGTTCCAGCCCTGCTGTAAGGCCAGATAAAAA